AAGGTCTTAACTTTCTAATTATAATGTATCTGTTATACGGAAGGTCTTAACTTTCTTATTAGAATGACCCTGGTAATTATATAAGCGACATCAATTTTTTATCATATCGTGATGACTTGATGGATCATAGAACTCAACAGATTTTGCAAGTGTGCTCCAATTATTGCAGACAATTCTCATATATATTGGACATATACTTGTGTTGCATCATTTACGTCAAAAGTTGTACATATTCCTGCCTCTCGTTTCTATTATTCTTTAAACTTTGTAACTAAACACTTTATAAATATAATTCAAAAATAGTTATTTTATCGATAAGGTGACCGATATACATACGTATACATATTGTCAATTTAATTTGGTTGACAACTTATGGTCCTCGCGCAATTGTCATCAATTTATATATATATAATCTAACGTAAATAGCTGATTTTATAAATAATAGGATAAAAATAAGTTATATACAGATATCTTCTCTATAGGACGAACATATTTTCGGGGTAAAACAGCCGAATCGTCGTGGTTATGACTACGGAATCGTCACCACTGGGATGTACGTACAGTTTACAAAGGGGACCAGAGTGGTCCAGAACATGAGGCTTGCGTTTGGCGGCACGGATGATAAACCGGTACTAGCGACAAAGGCGGCGGCTGCGGCAATCAAAGAGTAGGTAGTCAAAACAACATGATCTAGTAAATACATGTTTATATTGTAAAATTATATTATAGTTAATAAATTTATTTATTTATTTATTAAATGTTATAACTTATGTAAATTTTGACCATCTATGTTGGTTATGGTGTGAGCGGAGCGCTGAAACTGCCATCTTCCCCATTAACAACATTCTCGATGATACATGTTACAATATGTTTCGTCATATCTGATATGTATGATTCCGGTGTTAATTTATAGGCTTATATGTTTTTAGATACAAAATGTCGATGATAATTCATCTCTCACATCTTATGCATGCAAAATACCAGGAAAACATGGTGTATTTTGTATTGATAATGCTTTTGTGCAAAAGGTATCCATTTGACATGAAGTATAATACTACCATACGGTTCTCCTTATGACTTGAAACCTTTGTTTATTTTTGAGAATGTGGAACGAAGACATGCTGGAGAAAGTCAGTAATGGTCTGGCATCCGAACTACAAAGCGAAGCATATAACAACACATCTTTCCGAATTACACTAGCATGTAGCTTTTTCCTGAAGTTCTTCATGAAAATAAAGGCGACACTAGAGGTGGGTTTGGTTCCGATCACTTAGCGTCACATATAAAATGTTAATTTAACATAACAAAAGCTTGCAATGTATAAGCATTACATGTTTTTTCTTCAGATTTTGTTTCGCATTGAATTGGTTCAACTAAGATAAAATATATGTATATATATTTGATTAATGATTGATTTCAGACGGATTCTGATAAGCTTAGAATAGGATTGTCGTACACACCAGCTTCCAGTGTGCAAGTGTTCGATGTTCCAGACGATAGCGGTGCCCACGCCGTGTGGAAACCTATCCCTAACGTGACTTCAGAATACATCACTGCTGGCGAAGCACAGTTTGTGGACGACAACCCAAGTGCAATGAGTATGCTGTATTGACATTGGTTCAATATATTAGAATACAAATTAACTCTATAGACTTCTAGATGATGTGTTTTCGTACAATTAAATTCGGCTGTATTCCAAAGATAAAGCATCAATAATACGTTTTACTTTATTCTTAGAAATTTTCGTCGCATTTAACTTTCGCCATTTTCGCCCTCTGTCATACGAGCGGAGTTGTCATTACAGCGATCATATAATCATAAGGACAAAATTGACACAGGGCGAATATGGATTTTAGCGGCGAAGGAAGTCTGACTGGGTGAAATTTCCCTGGTATACAGTAGTTTTACTTGTAATGTTGTTAACAGAGTGAACATCTAATATATTCTTTGAACATTTTATCAGACGAGCTGTTTGCTGGACTTGTGACCAGTGCACATGCCCATGCAAAGATTGTGTCGGTGGATGTGTCGGCAGCACTAGAAGTGAAAGGAGTTGTTGACGTCGTAGACTACAAAGATGTACCCTGTCACAACAAATACGGGCCATTAGTTCCTGATCACATGCTGTTTTGTGAAGATGAGGTTCGTCAAGTGTAGTACCCAGATATTAACATTTTTTTGGGGAAAGTATATAATGAAGACGTACTTTCTTCTGAGATTGCTTTCGCTGACTCCCCTAAATCTTTGCATATATTTAGCTGTTCAACATATACACTTAATACATACTTGGTAATAGAATGCATGCTGTCACTACTGTAATTTTAGTCATACACGGTTCCCGGGGGACTATAGGTTTGCACTCCGTCCGTCCTTCCTTCCGTCCTTCCGTCCAAGAAGGTTGTTCTGGTCATATCTTCTATACTATTTCACATGGAGTAACCGGATTTGGTGTACAGGGTCATCTTGGGATGTCGGAGTGCAAGAAGTAGGTCACTATATCCACACTTTGACCTATGCTTCCTGACATAATTGTACTGTTTGTTAAATACATAAAAATCATTACCGGTGGGAGACTATGGATTACCGCTATATTATTTCCAAAGTGCGACTGGTCCAATATTTGCTCAAACAGAATGAGTATAAAACAATGTATATATTTGAACCTTATCGAACGTTAGTGATATAATTTTCCGTTTCAAAATGAAATTAAAGCCGGTATTTTTGTCTCAAAGTATATACAAAACATATGCGCGACATATACTAAACAAGTTGTACGCTCAACGCTTTTTGCATGCTTTAATCTTTATTCTCTGTTTTATTTGTGTCCAAGTTATCTCCTTTACATTGTTTAGTTGTTATCGTTTGATTAATCAGAAATGACTGATGGCTATCGATTCTTCATTTGCGAGTGTCTTTTAATGAACAAAGTCGGAAATGCCACAAATAAATGTGTTTTGCATTTGGTAGGCTTTGGAACGGGAATGAACGTTACATTTAGGTAGTACGAATCCTTAACATTAATTAAAGCTAGGGTTCATGTGTAATGGTATTGATACGTCCTTTTTTTGATTTAGGTTTTTCATCATGGACAAGTGATATGTGCTATACTAGCAGAGTCCAGAGAAATTGCAAGCAAGGCGGTCAAACTCGTCAAAGTGGAATACGAACCCCTTGAGGCAATAGCATCGCTGGAGGTAATGTTCAGCGTACACATCCCATTAATTGTTAACTCACGTGTAAATAAATCAAACAGACGAAGACATTAATGCTTCCTCAAATAAATAAACAAATTGAACATTGCAGAATGCACCATTGTCTATTAAAGTGGAAAACAATCTTTTGAACAATGGTTACATTACTATTGAGATACAGATTTAAGTTGATTATGAATTTTCCCTGATTTACTGACATATCTATTGTTTAATAGGCAAGTCTTATCCGCTTGAAAATTACATTGGTGACGAGAGTAATCCAATAAGCTTTAAAATTTGCCTAGTTTAGTGTCATATGCGTTTGATTTAATAGGATGCAATCAAGAAGGGAAATTTCACTGGGCAACCGTACACAGTTGAGCGTGGAAGCCTGGAAAAGGCAGAAAAGGAGGCGGACTTTGTTGTAGAAGGGGAATGCGAGACTGGGGCCCAGGAACACATGTATATGGAGCCCCAGTCCGCCCTAGTCGTCCCAAGGAAGGAGCAGAATGAACTCGATATAGTCACAACCTCACAGGGTGTCACAGAGATGCAGGTAGCTAACTCACATATCGTAACCCAGTACCGAGCCGTGACGAGGCCATTCCCATTGTTGGGAAGATCAAGTGTGTTCATATAAACGTTCAGAATTCAGTTGTCTATATCTCATGAAGTAAATACCCTTATATCGTTATATATCTTTTCCTAGATGTCATGAAGCATACAATGACGGTATTTGCATTTATCTAGTTTGTCTAAACGGATGACCTTGGCGTGCGTTCAACGTCACAGATATCAAACGTTAAAATATTCGTTAGATTCCGTCTAAGGATACTTGCGGTGCAGATTCAATTCTTTTGGTTTGCCTGACAAGGATATAATTTTTTATGAAATATGACCATGACTCACTTTTAAGGTCACAATGGTAAAATGTGATCCATTTCGCTTAGGGTCATTCCATTTGTCATGTAGTGTTTTATTGTAAATGACTATCAACTATATGTTACTTCGACTTCCATGTACATTAAATTCCCCTGTACCAAATGTGTTAACAACCCATCTGATGCTTGACTTTGTTACCCAGAGTTGACATCACCATCTTTCGATGTATCTGAAGTTATGCAAATTTCTCACACAATTCATGACAAAAAAGTGACACAGGCCACTCGGGCTGCAA